TATTGAGGTTGGTTGTGGTATTGATGAGTTAATTCTTAAATGATTTTGTGTGTATTGTGTGAGAGAGTAAATGACTAAACAATACTGTTGTTGGAAATGAGGGTTTTTACTGCAGGAAAAAGGAAAAATAGGCAGTAGGGAAGGTGAGGAAGAACTTGTGTTAGTGGATTTGAATTGAGGATATCAGTATGAACTAATGGGTATGAATTTATGAAGCCTATTTCTGGGAGAACATGGGCCCAAATGTATCCCTTTATGAACCTGGGCAGTCTTCACCTGTGAGCTACAGCATCTTCTCTGCCACCTGACTTCAGCATTCTGAATGGATAACAGGCCCTAACTGGAGATCTCTTCCCGGATACACAAAGGGGGCCATGGGATGTGTTAGTGATTGATGGATGGCTCTGATAGGCCCCTGGCCCCTCACAGAGGAGCATGAGTTCCCATCCGGACTGTTGGCTCAGGAATCAGAGGGGGCATAAGTCTACAGTGGCAGGGTCCTCTAACACCTGCAGAGGAATTCCTGCGTGTCTTGCTCTTCAAGGTGTCTGAAGCAACTGTTCTGTATGGGCTGAGTCTTGGGACATGAGACTGGGTAGAGTGTTCTAGTCTCAAGAGATACAAACTAGAGGATTGAAGTTGCAGGCAAGCCTTAGTCTGAACAGTTGGAGAGAGAGGGCTGGGGGCAGTCACTGCAGCAAAGAGGATCACCAGTGGACCTTGAAGGTGAGCTGCAGTGAGGAAGCCAAAGCCAGGGAGGTGAAAGAACGTGCACATTCCGCTTCACCTTTCCTGATGAGTAGCTGCTTTTAGGATCCTGCAAGAAGAGACTCTCAGGAGAACTTATGCACAAAATATGGTCACAAATATCCATCTTCTCATTGGGAGAAATAAAGGGGGTGCCACAGGAGGGGAAAATATATGAATAAATGCTACATGTTGTGAGGTGAGCATCTTAAGTTCTTCTTATACTATCAGGGTTTTTCTACTAAAAAAAAAAAACTTCACAAATGCTCCTGAATAGTGTATTGCAATGACTTCTTTTGCACTTGAGATATGACTTTTGTGGAGTTCTTCTCATTTAGGTATGATTTCATCATTATCAGCAGACTGAAAAGAGCTTAGATAAATATATTTCCAAGAGAATGATGATCAGAATGAAGTTACGACAAGAAACAAAAAGAAACTGTCTTGTCCCCCCACCCACCCAACCCTGCCCCCACTTCCTCAAGCGTATGTATCAGGGCACGCTTGCACGTGCCATCTCTTCCTTCCTCCTCCTTCATCAGAGTTTCCTGATCTTGGAGAGAGGCTGGATCCACTGGCAGAAAGATTTATACGACCAAATGGTTTATAGTTTTCTGACTGCAATTGCAGATTTGCCTCTGAATAGACAAGCTGCAGGCACAATGGGCCTGAGGGTCTTGCTGGCTATACTCTGGCACATTCATCCCAATTGTATGTGAACTGTATGTTGACAGCACAGTTTAACACCCCCCCTCCTCAAATATATCCTTTGTGAGGCTTTGTGATTTCAGAAGAAGCTGGGTAGGATAGAGCTAAGTAGTTCAGGCTACCAAGTAAAAAATATTCAGAAGGCCCTTTGTACATTTTGTTGGCTTATAGAAAAAGAAGGAAAGTAGAGAAAAAAGGGTACAACACTGTAAATGAGAAGTCTGGCTTTCTACTTTTGCTGCAATTTGACAATCAGGGGCCATTTGTGTCAGCCTCAGCATCTTCTGTTATCTGGCTACTGAGTGTGGTTGAATTGACAATTGAGTCAATAGTCACATTGGTGTCAGGATCACAGGCCAATGCCTGGAGACATGTTTTGCCTCCCTCTGTAGCCTTTGGCAACATTCATGTGTCAGAGCCCAGCAAAGACCCACTGTTTAGCTGTCCACAACTGTGGAATCTCATGCAGGTCATGGGCAGTGCTCAGGCCAGCCTTGTGCCTCTTCTTGATTCATCCCATCATAGTAGGGCCAAGGACAACAGAAAGTGATTCCAGGAATGAGATCCAGCCACAGTGAAGCTCCCAAGGCTTTGGGTTCTCAATTTAGAGGGGAAGGGTGACAGGAGTCAGGAATGGCATGAGAGTTTCGGGCTTAGAAATGAAAACAGAGGTCTTCTTATGTGGACGGGGTTAACCCGAGAGTAGTTAGGGATAGACTGGGCCTCAGGGGAAAGCAGGGACTCACAGCTCTTTGCAACCCCTGTTCCTAGGGATGAGGCTGTTCATGCTTCCCAACCTGGTCAGGAGGGCATGAGGCTTGGATAGGCTGAGTGCTTCCAAGCCCAGTTCTGTCTTATAGGTGCTACTATAAGCCTCCACAGGTGGACCCAAGAGACTGTTGCTCCTTCTCTGTTCATTGCCTTTTGCTCTTTCCCTCATAGATTAGAGTTGCATGAATCATAAACCCTCAATAAGCAGTCCTTAACACTCTAGCCAGATTTTTGAGACTGCTGTTACATGTAAAGCAGTGGGGGTCTTGAAAACTGTTATAGACACCCCTCCACTCTCACCTCATGACCTCTAGGTTTGGATCTTGGGTCTTTGTGATGTCTTTCAGAGACTGTTTTGAGCTTACCTGTCCTGGTAAACAAAGTGATTATACCATTCAGAAGGACCCCAGGGTTGACGAGGAGGGAATGAACACTGAAGTCCTCATTTAATTTTGGTGTTTATTGACTTCAGTTTTATGAACATATATAGATGATGTCACACACACATATACACACTCAGATGTCATACACATTTAGGTGTGTACACACTTAAGTGACATTCATCTGGATGTCACACCCATTCATTCCAAGAGTATATATGTTTGCTCAGTTTTTAGACACCCAAGTCCTAAAGATGCTCATTTGGACATTGCTCACACTCAAATGTAGTCTGCATTCCCAGAAACGTGGGCCACTTTCACTCACATGCCACTCACATGCCCTCTGGGCCACTCAGTTCTCATTCAGATGTGCCTAACAGTACACATGCTTGCTGAGCCATTGCTCACCTCAACTCAGATACCACATTCTAAGTGTGGCGGACATTCATATGCCTATTTCTTTCCCATTTGCGTTGCCGATGATCCCCATGCTCAAGGAGATTCAGGGGGAAGATTTGCCATGTTGAGTGTGGCATGTTTCCTTGGGTCAGTCCCTCTGTACCTTTTTTTTTTTAATTGAAATAGTCCTGTGCCTCTGTCTTTGCCTAAGTTGTGCTTCTTAACCAAATGTCTTTAGATGGACAGCCTGATCAAAAGATGGTAGCCTGCACCACATTCCATTTTCATAAACCATGTGCTAGCTCACTATGCCATCTTTAAACAATTGGTTTGGGGCCACTGCTGCAATCACCTCATTAATTTACAAAAGTTTCCTGGGGGTACTCTTTGGGCAATTGAGTCCCAAGATCTATGGAGTAAGGACCTTCTAAAAGAAGAGCATTCATTCAGGGCACCTGGGTGGCTCAGTCAGTTAAGCATCTGCCTCCGGCTCCGGTCATGATCTCAGGGTCCTAGGATCGATCGAGCCCTGTATCAGGCTCTCGGCCCAGCAGGGAGTCTGCTCCTCTCTCTCTCTCTCTCTCTCTCTCTCTCTCTCTCATTCTCTCTCTCTCAAATAAATAAAATCTTTTTTAAAAAAAGGACAGCATTTCTCAAGAGAAGTACAAATTGTGGACATTCAAAGAGATCGTAAAATGCTATCCAAATGCACAAACTTTAGGATAACTTTTATAAAAAGAGCCTACACATTTGGCATATAGCTGGTGTTCATTAAAGGCTTGGTCATCTCTCTTCACACACTAGCACCTTCTTACTTCCTTCTAAGTTGAAAGGAATGGTACAAGTGATCTTGTACAGGAGTTTGGAGTGTTTATCTTGACTAGGGATTCTGCATCCAGTCATATTTGGTTTCATGCCTACTTTCAGTTTTAGCTCAATTTAATTTGGTTCACTTGAACAAGAATTCACTGATCACTGTATGGTTATCAGGCAACCTATTCAGCAGTATATGGTGGAGGGAGTGATGCAGAGATAACTAAGCCACAACTCCCACTGTCCAAAAGGTCACAGTCTAGCCAGAGAAACAGTAGTTCCGTGTACATATTATTGCAATCCCAAGGAGATATCCATTAATGAATTGTAGGGGAACTAAGGAGGAAGACTCATTCAGATTGGAAAGGTCTAGATGGACTTCAATGAGGAGATGAAAGATAGACTCAGTCTTTAGGGAAAGGCTTCCACTGGCAGAAGTGGAGGGCATTGCAGGTGGAGGAAGCATGAACTGATGATGGCATGGAGTGGGATCCACAGGATGTTTGTGCAGTAGCACGGGGTCTGGAGCAGCTGGAATGAGGGGTTCATCCCAAGAGTTTCTAAAAGACAGGCTGGAAGCCAGGCACAAGTGTCCCCAATGCCAGGATGAGGGCTTTAGATTATATCATTCAGATAATGGAGAGCTTATGAGAGTGCTTGAAGAGGGACAGTGTTATATGTTCAGGAAGATCAGTGTTGACTAGTTGATAGATAAGTTAGAGGCAAAGAGACCAGTTGAATCCAGGTAAGAGGTAGGGAAGTGCCCAACCTCAGCATTATCAGTGAAGGGAAAGAAAGGAGAAGGGCAGGTACAGATTGCTGATGTCAACAGGGCTTTTTGATTATAAGTGCAGAATGAGATCTAAGGAGGTAGGAATTGAGGATGAGCCCCGACTCCAGATCTCATCACTTGATGGGCAACGCTACCCTTTGTTAAGAAAAAAAAAACAAACAAACATAGAAGGAGGAGGCAGGTGTTTAGGGCTTGGGACCGTGTTGCAGTTTGGATCTATCTCAATGTGAGCTGGCCTTGGGACATCTAAATGGAGATAGATTTCTACAAAGCAGTAGATTTATTAATTCTAAAGCTCAGGAGGGAGGTTTAGTTGTAGACAGAAATGGTGATAAATAACAAGTTCATCCTTCTAGATAGTTGCTCATCTGCCTCTCTTTCTTGTCCAGTGTTTATCAGCTGGTTGTCAAGGAGGAGCGACTTCAGAAGTCACGAAGGGCAGCTGACATCATTGAGTGCTTTTCAGTGCCTGTGAGCTATAGGAATGCCTCCAGCCTTGATTCTCTACACTACTTTGCTGCTGAATTGAAGCCCGCCAACCTGCCTGTCACCCAGCCATTTACAGTGGGTGACAATAAGACATACAATGGATACTGGAACCCTCCTCTTTCCCCTCTGAAAAGCTACAGCATCTACTTCCAGGCACTCAGCAAAGCAAATGGAGTAAGTACGGCCACATGGAGGCCATTTCTTGCCTTGTTTGTATTTTCCCATTCTCAAATGAGAAGTAGCATGGCTTTCGAGCAGAGCTTGACAAACTAAGGCCTGGTGACCAAATCCAGCCCCATGCCTTTTATATAAACATTTTTTTAATACAGCAATGCCTATTCATTTATATAGTCTAAGGCTGCTTTGATGCTACAACAGTATAGTTGAGTAGTTTATTTTTTTTTAAGATTTTATTTATTTGTCAGAGAGAGAGAGAGAGAGCACAGGCAGGGGAGTGGCAGGCAGAGGGAGAAGCAGGCTCCCTGCTGGACAGGGAGCCTGATGTGAGACTCGGTCCCAGGACCCTGGGATCATGACCAAGCCAAAGGCAGATGGTTAACAGACTGTGCCACCCAGATGTCCTAAGTTGAATAGATTAGGCAAAGACTTTATGCCACATAAAGCCTAAAATATTTACTATATGGCCCTTTACAGAAAAAATTTGCGGACTTCAGTATTCAAAGATAAAACGTCTGTGGTGCCTGGGTGGCTCAGTTGAGCCACCAACTCTTGATTTCAGCTCAGGTCCCGATCTCAGGGTGGTGGGATCAAGCCCCGTACTGGGCGTGGATCCTTCATGGAATTCTCTTTCTGCGTCTACCTCTGCCCCTCCTACCCACCCACCCCTGCATGCCCACACATGCATGCATACTCTCTCTCTAAAAATAAATAAATAAAAATAATAAAAGATAAAAAGGTCTTTCAAATTACCTTTGGGCAAATCACATGCCTATCTGAAGATTAATTTCCTCACCTACAAAATAATACCTATCAATTTATTATCTATGAATGTACTAAGCATGTTGTAATCAGTGAATGCTAACTCTTTTATTATTACCAATAGTCACATTAGAAAATGTTTTCTTCCCCAAAGACAAGGTAACCTTTTTTAACGTCAAATATTTCTTTGGTCAAGATGGGATGCCAGTCATAACATCACAAAAGCACAGGGCTAGAAAAGATCTGAAACATCACCGAATACCTACTTCCTCCCCCTACACATAAAACAATCAACCTTACAACATCACACTTAACTGGTAATAGTGCGTATTCTTGAATATCTCCAATGACAGAGAACTCACTTCTTTACCTGGTAACTTTACTGATCTTTGGGGTCGCTATGACTCTAAGAAGTCCTTTTATTATACTGCTTGAAATTTGTCTCTTATTATAGCTTCTACCTGTTGCCCTTGGTCTAGACTCTTAGGTCCCAAGATAGCTAATGCAATCACCTTTTCAGGCAGCATTCTTTCAGTTCCATAAGATCTTTCCTACCATCCACCTCCCCTCTGTTCAAACACATCCATCTAGTCTTATTTTCTGAAAGTTCACTGTCTTTAGTTCCTCTTATGACACAAGTATTTTCTATCTAGGATGCTTTTGTGGACATATCTCAGGTTGCTATATTTCATTCAACAAATATGTAACAAACACTGACATATGCTAGGTCCTATAGTTCATATTAAGGTTATAAAGTAGGTACCCTCCAAGAGCTTTTGTAACATAAGGGAATCTGGTATGTGCCATATTTCACAGTATTTCTGGAGAAGTGAGAAGCTCACTGGAGAAGGGGACACTGAGACAAAAGCAAGATCTGGTGAAGTGTGTGAAGAATAGCTTCTATAGGCTCTGGTGGCCAAGATAGAGAGTTTAGTCCGTCAGTGGCAGTCATTACCTTATGAGAAACCTGGATTGAGGAACTAATTAACATTTTAAATGTCCACATAGCCATTTAAATTCCACATTGGTATTTCAGTTCTGCACTTACTACTTACTCGAGCAACATTCCTCACAGAGAGTTTAAAACTACAAAGAGAAGCTGCCAGACTGCCTTCCATCTGTCCATCTGGTCTTCCCTCTGCATGAAGCACTCTGGTATATTGAAGAGGAACACATAAAGATGAGCAGAAAGCATCTGGGGGCCCATCTTGTTCCTGGTTCTCTGCATTCCAGACTGGCCAGTTTATTGGCGGAGCACAACTCTGAGAAGGTGTGACTTTCCCTGTTCTTGGCAACATGTCAAGAGGTGCTTTTGGGTTTCCATGCTGTGAAGAAGAGTAGCAGCTACACTCAATTCACTTGCTGTCACATTCTTACCAAGACTCTAATAAAATCCTAGCAAGAGACCAAGTCTGTAGAACCCAAGAAATTGATAGATGGACCCCAAGTGGAATTTGCCCAACCCAAGCATGGTTGACCCTTGAACAGAACAGCAGGTGACACAGGAGGATTGTGGGAAGTTTTGCTTCCCAAACTTCACACAGTGGACTGTCTCCTCAAGACATGGGGTTTTGCCTTTGGGAAAAAAAGTCACCCTAACCTGAAGCTACCTCATCTAGGAAGCAGTTTCTACTATTGCTTCGAGATGAACAAGGATCATTTAATTACTTATGCCTTTGAGCCCACGCCATGTGTGCTTCTGTTTTGGAACTAAGATTTTCAGGAAGGGAATTAAGAGAATTGGGTTCATGCTTATGCCAGGGGTCTTGAGTGTGTCATTGGCTTCACAGGAACAGAGAGGAAAAGCCGTGAGAGCTGGGCACTCAGCGTGTTGTTTTTCTTCTGGCAAGGGAAAAACTACACACTATTTCAAATTACTGGATTTAGTATTAAGTTTTACTAAAAAGAGTTAAGCTAAAGGGTCATAAGAGCAGAAAAGCCATTCTAACAAATCTCTGCCTGGCCCGTCTCAGATTTCTCCATCTCGTAAAGGGCAGCAGACAATGCAGTAAGCCTGGAGGATTTTTGAGGAGAAAATGTTATAACCCACAAATTCTTTATCAGCCAAATTGTTGTTCTTGTGCAAATACATCAGAAAGACATTCTCAGTATCCAGGGGCTCCCACATGCCCTGCTTCTAATAAATCATTCAAAGAGTAATTGAACAAGCAACGAGTCAAAATAAAGAAATCAAGAACAGAGATATATGGAATGAAATGACCTACAGTGAGCATGGAAGCTAATTAAACACAGAGTTAATGCTAAATAATTGCTATAAATATGTTATAAAAGAGAATGTTAACATAAAAATAATTAAGGAGAAAATGTATAATGTAAAAAATTAACCATTGTAATCTGGGTCTATAATTTGCTATTATGTCAACAAAAACTGAAAAGGAGTTGGAGGATTGATGAGTGTAAATAAAAATCTGATTTCCCCACTTTAGACAGGATGGAATAAATAACTTCTACTTTATTTTTGATACTGAGAATTTTTGAAAAGTACAGTTTTTTAAACATAAAGGCAGCTTTCCAGTCTATCCTAAAAAAGCCAGAAAACAACAGTCTACAAAGAAAAGGTGGAAAAGCAAAGGAAACTATAAGTAAACATGAAAATCAGCAACTATAAAACAAGCCAGAAGACAAAAGCACTAGGTTTTTTCAAGTGGTGCTTTGTTCCCTTCATAAAAGAGGAAAAAATATCTTGGGTCAAGATATTTCTGTATCACTAGAAGATTAAAACCAAAGGATGGGGCAAAGTCATACTAAATTAAGACAAATTAAAGGAAAGTAAAAATGGCCATTTGTTGCAGGATGTTTGTGGGCCCGATTGAATAATTTACTATCAATTGTATTGCTCCCAACCTAATCTGCAGGTTTCAGTCAGAACAGGGTAAGAAAATTTTAGGGTCCAGATACATTTATTCTATGGATATTAAGGATAGTTGTTTTGTTTTGTTTTTCAGTTTAGCAGAGTGGCTAAATATCCAGCCTTTACGATCAGACTAACTTACACAAAAAAACCCTAGTAACTCTAACTTTAAGTAAGCTATTAAAAAAGAGTTAAATATATTAAGCAAACATCTAGGAAGCACATACTATATGTCAAAAAAAAAAGGCACTTCTGAGTGCCCAGAGTAAAACAGTAAGCCAAACAGTTAAAAATCCCTGCCCTCATGCTGTTTACATTCTAGTAGGGGAGATGTAAAAATAACTAAGTGAAATAATGTGTCAAATAGATTTGTGTCTATTTGTGTCTAATCTAATAATGTGTCATTAGATTTATGAATGTGGAGGTCACTCATTAACTGTTGATTTAAGATCTATGTTGACTATTAATAGGATGAGGATAAGGACATTTTGTAAACTTTCCAGTAATCTATATAAATGTGGAGTATTGTAATCCAGATCTATAAACACTATGGAGAACTCAAGTATGATATGCATTATGAGGCATGATGCTCAGAATCCTTGCAGACATTTTTGTGAAGTATGAGTTGTTGACAGGCACTTTTATTGGGAATTTTGATCAGATTAGTAATATCACATTTACCCCTTAATGCTTTCTTTTTTTTTTTATTATGTTGTTAGTCACCATACAGTACATCATTAGTTTTTGATGTAGTGTTCCATGTTTCATTGTTTGTGTATAACACCCAGTGCTCCATGCAGTACGTGCCCTCCTTAATACCCATCACCAGGATAACCCATCCCCCCCACCTCCCCTCTAAAATCCTCAGATTGTTTCTCAGAGTCCATAGTCTCTCATGGTTCATCTCTCCCTCCGATTTCCACCCCCCTTCATTTTTCCCTTCCTTCTCCTAATGTCCTCCATGCTATTCCTTATGTTCCACAAATAAGTGAAACCATATGATAATTGACTTTTTCTGCTTGACTTATTTCACTTAGCATAATCTCCTTCAGTCCCATCCATGTTGATGTAAAAGTTGGGTATTCATCCTTTCTGATAGCTGAGTAATACTCTTACAGAAAGAAAACAAGGGCAGTGCTGTCTGTCAGTGCGCTGTCCTTGGTGCTGAATCCTCAGTGCCAGTCTTTCTTGTGAATCGGGCCATATTGTAACCATTGTTTTGGGTAGAGCTATATTATAGATCTATTATAGCATTTTAGAATTGGATGATTTTGCAGTGTTATCTAATGTAGACCAGCAGACAACAAATAAAGATCCAATAAAGTCTTCTTGGCAGGGTATCATAGAGCCTCAGCTTGACCAC